TGCTGAATCTTGTTAGAATCAGGTTACAAAAATGTTAGGATATAGCTAGAGACTGTCTCTATTACCTATTAAAATCCAACCTGGTTTGGACGAAAAGTGGTAGAGCTACAGTAATTCTTAGTTGAGCTGGTGCATGGTGGAGGAGGTTTAGAACCACGATATCACCTAAAAAATCACAAAAGTCCCTCAGACGGCTGGGGAGAGAAAGCCTTTCTTACACCCTCATTGGTTAGAGAGATGGGGCTTGCGCCACTAAGGCTACTAGCAGGGGCTTGCCCCTGTCGAGGCTCTCTCCCCATCTCGTCTGAGCTTGCTGAGATAAAACGGAAGTTGGACTTGGTCCTGCATGCAAGTTAGCATCGTCATTTGTGTATAGGGAATGATTGTGGTTGTGGTACAAGGCATTAAGGATACAGTCCTGCAGCGGAGAATCACGTGTTCACGACTGCTATGCTATGCAAACCCGCACGCATCTCGGATCTCTGAGTTGTAGCAGAAGTTATGGCAAGGTTACAAAGCTTCCGATTGATAATAAACCACGATGATGACGGTGCACGAGATTGCCATCTGATATTCCGGTACTTCCGGAACTAGTGTAGCTCTCCCATAAAAAGTGCTTGCTCCCCCGCCATCCAGATACAACATTTTGTTTTGTGGATTTGCATTTTTCGACACTGCATTTGTGTTGGGTGCTCGCTAGCAATATATCGCAAACCATTGTGGGTGTGAGAATGAGAATACGATCGATGACGTTATGAATTTCGGAATCAGCGAGACCGGCTGGGAACTGGAATTGAATTGATAAGAGTACGGACGAGCTCCGAAACCCCGACACGATAGATATTTGCTTTAGTCTTCGAAGTCGATTCATACGATACAGTAGCATTGAGCGCGCAAATATTGAGGGCTGCCAACGAAAACCCGTGCCTTTGGAGACCTCATGTCACCCTACTCGCATTCTCCAAGCCGGTAAGTCCGTCTCTGATGCAACATCCAAAACCCCGCTCAAGGTCTAAGCTTCGAGGCTGACAGCGACAAATCCAGCGTGCTTGCAACGACACTCTCCTCGCTCACGCTCATTACGCATACACTCGTCGTGTTCTTCGCGTTGCATATACATAACTCCGTACTCCCCCTAGATTATCATTTCTTTCCGAGTTCGGGGTTTGAGTTATACAATGTTTTGGCAGCGGGTGGGAGTGCGCTGGGTGTGTTTGGCGCGCTGAGGGTAAGCTTGCTTTTTCCTCTCTTGCTGCGTTGGCAGCGTCTGCCTTTGCACGCGCATTTGCATTTGCATTTGCATCTGCACCTACATTTTGCGGTCGTAAGTCCGGCCTCATGACCAAATTTCTGCCGTGTCTCAGAACGCAGAAAAGAGTAGCTTCTTTTCCATCTGCAGGCGTTCTTTAGGCTGACCTTGACCTCGATCAGATGGACACACTCTTAGTGTCAGCTTACACAACCGTGCATGCTACAACGCTCCTGATCAGTACGCTCGCGCTGTTTGATCTCGTCTTGCCTTTTGAGACTACTGCCGCCATTCCGATTTTTCCGAGTATGCGGCTTGGTTTTGTGGACATGTGTAGTGAGCATGATGGGTTTGGGTGGGATGCGCAATGGGTTGATCAGTGTCGGATGAGCTTTGCGGTTATGAAGGCGGTGGCTGTTGGTGTAGGGTTGGTGTTGGTGGGAATCCAATGGTGGGCTGTTGGGAAGGTTTGGCGCTGGGGAAGAGGGCTCAGGCGGGAAGAGCCTAAGAGAAGGGAGATGGGAAGAGATGTCGAGAAGGTTGTAGTGGATGAGAAAGTAGACATGTTAGAAACAGGTGAAGATGTAGGAGATGGCCTATGGTCTAGGGTATAGACTTAAGAATACATAAAGTAAAGTTTACCAGGTGTCGGCGAACATCGCCCTCAGGCCGCTCTCCTCAGACCAGGCGCGCAAGCACTGTCAAGACTGAATGCTTTCGCCTGACTTCTATTCGTCGCGGCCGCAGGAAGGCAACGAGAACTTGTGTGAGATCGAAGTGTGAGATTCCGCCTTTCGGTCCTCAAAGTGCACGGGAAGATTGATGGTGGATAAATGCGTTGTGGCGTCTGGCTTCGTATTAGCACCAGGATGAAACCCCTAAGCCACACCAATCCTCCGCCTAACCTTAATCACGACCACCACACACTATTTCGCAGTAGGAGCTCACTCACAAAGATCCAAGCAACTTTCTCTGACAAATAGTCTTCCTTCTGCTTGCCCTAGTTCTGTACCGTTTTCATGTTTCGGATTTTCTCTCCAAAACAGAAATCTTTTGCACTCTTTGTCGTTGTTCAGGTACCTAGTATAGGTCCGCACCTTCCTCACCGAACAACTATCGCAGGTGCAGTCGCACTCTCTCCAGCCCCGCACGACTCCACAGTGCATGCACATTTCCCTTATATTACTGGTCCACTCGTTCCTTCCTCCAGCGCCCGTGTGTATAACTCTTGCCAAGCGTCCGACATGCCAAGCGCAAAACCGCGCTGGGAGTTCGACAATCTCCGTATGCGGGGCATTATGGGTAGGATATCGAGGTAAACATGCCGGGCTGCTAGAGGAACTAAAGAGGGCAGCGGGATAAATGGCTTTGCAAAGAATGCAACGTATGTGGGAAGGTTTCGGCTCTGGGCGAGAAAGGTAGGTTCGAATGGCTAGTCGGGCACAGGTAGTTAAAGCGGTATTCTTGAGACGCGGGGCAAGCGGAAGGAGGGTGTTGAAACTTGGATGCGTGAACTTTAGTGATAGGATGCCGTCAGGGGGAATGTGGTCGGCGATCTCGAGGATGAGTTCGGGAGGAAGGGAGAGCAGGTTGAGCGTGGATGTGGCCATGATAGTTTGCTATGAAGTTGAAGGTTAGAATGCCCTAGGTGTGGATCGGGTTGTTATACGGCGTCGGAACTGTGCCATATGTTATAGCCGTGGAACGTTCCGGACAGGCTATTCGAGTGGTGCAAGCGTGCAAACAACCAACCTTAGAAAGTGGCTGTAACGGTGAATTCTCACAAACACAGCACGGCTTGTCATTCAAGAGGGAAGTTACGCCAACCATACAGTAGTTGCACCCTGTGAGTTGCCCATAAAGAATGCTCGTAGACAATTCGCCACCGGTATGCTGATGTCAGTACAGCACCGTCATAATACTCAATATCCAAAGTTGGGAACAGTTACAGCATTTTGTCTGAGAGAACCAGAGCGCTGGGCAGCTTGTGGCCACCCTGGTTGCTCCTCCGTGCTCATGATGCTGAGATACACCGAGAAACAGAAGCATGGACGCATCGTTTGGTTGCAGCGCGGAATGATAGCAGTCATATTTTCTTTGAGACAGACGCGCGCGTGATTTGTGGATGATAAATGACTTAGATGTCTTGGGCACAAGACCCGTTGAGTGTTTCGGTAGGACAAGGAGGTATGACGAAATTTGATGCAGGTACCATAGTACGATACAAAGGAATGTGACGAGAGGCGAGAGGATGAATAATAGGAGAGGACAAAACATCTACTTGTGCCTTGATTTTCGTGCAACCGCGGCCTCGACAAACAGTGGAGAGCGATTCTTATTGCTAGAGTTAGTTTTCAGTCCCAACCGAACTACAAGGGTAGGTTGACGAACTGGTGTGAAAAGCAAAAAACACCTGGCCGTCGCCGTCGGGCTGATTGTGAGTAGTGAGTGAGCCCACCATTTATTAATACCACGCCTTGCCTCGACTTCGTCATGCCCAGAACCGCCGATGCCCGGCCTCGTCTTCCGGTTCCAACCAAGAGAAGATTCGACGCATTGTCGAGTACGGAGCTCAAACGAGGCCACTTTGCGAAGCTCTCGGCGTGGCATGTGTTTGCATCGTGCCGCATGCTGTGCGTCCGATGATTGAACACGTTCTGTCAGCATGCAGCCTGTTCGCAGCAGCGCCGTCAATCTCAGAAGCGCTGCAACCGCAACGAAGATGCAGCCATTTCCCCATCAAGCCCCATCTGGCATGAAAGCCGGTCGCCGTCGTCTCCGCTTTTGCTTCCAAACATTGACATCGTCATTGCCGCCACCTTGATAAGGCTTCCATTCACCGTCAACAACCATCACAGCTAGTAGGTTGCGCACTTCATTGCGCATATCCTCATCTGCCTGCGATCGGACAGCTTGCGCAATGACGGCAGATGCAAGCCACCAGGTCCAGAAATCTGGCGAGGTGCTGTCTCTGGGGCGTCTTCATTGGAGCTCTCCCGAGAGTCACTCCAGCTCCGCACCACCATGGGCGAAGCCTGCGATGGTCAGCAATCGAGCAGGACATGATCACACTGGCAGCTCCATGACTGCATACGGCTGCCGAACAAGGACGGAGTCTCCAGCAGCGCGGCGATGCAGGCTGTTGGCTGGCGATGGCGGCCACAGATGGAGGGCCGGAGGCATGGCGGGATAGCGGGATAGCGAGGTGGGGTGTGCAGATGCCAATCCATGTGCAACCTTTTTCTGGGAGACAGCTGGTGCTGCGGCTGGATGCTCGTTCTCGCTCTCAACCTGCGCCGGAGAATTGCAGCGAGGGAACTATTGGGCACCTGGACTGCAGGTGCCACCAGTAAATAGCGCACAGAGGCGAGAACGTCGGCTGCCAGAGCAGACAGACTGCGAAAATGTTCATCAGGGTCCGCCGCCGTGTGTGGGAAAAGGAGAGGCACGGGCGGCATTTTATGGGCGCTCTCGCGGAACCAGTCGCTGCTGGACGAGTCCCAATACAGGGTTGCATGTCCAGACCTACATGGTTAGCCTAACTGAACCTCTCGCGTCCCGCAGACTTGGGGGAGAAACGGGCAGTGGGCTCCTGCAACTGCCAGCACTGTCAACGTCAGCCGCCGAATCCTCTCCCGTCCGGCCGGCGTGGTCGAGGTCGCTCAGAGTGAATGCTCGGAGTGCTATTACGCTGGGGGGCCTACGGTCAAGGACCAGCGCGAGGCTGCGGCGAGGCCCCGGGCGCCGTTGCGCGCCGACTCACACGGCTAGCAGGGCCTGACTCTGCTAATTGCGTGCAGCAGCGAGATGGCTGTGGCCCGTGACGGCGGAGATTACCTGAGTAGTGTCTGCACTGTCTGTTCACGCTTGGTCTAGCTAGCGTAATATCTCAGTCCCCTTTTGAACGTCCCTCAACCCTATCCCAGTTGCTGCTGCGCCTGCACTCTTCTCCGCACCTCTCCTCCTCTCAGCCTCTGCTGCACTCAGTTGATTCACTTTGCGCCCTGCAGAGTGGATAGCTGTCGCTCCTTGTGCGTGTGTGTGTGTGTTCCCAGATCTCGGTAAGCGGCAACCCTATCTCAACTCATCTCCGCTTTGGGGCGCGGGCGCGCCAAAAATCTTTTCCTCTCCCGACTGTCGACCTCATTTCCCTTCCCCCTCCCGCGGGTACAAACGTCGCCACAAGCTCTCGCTCCTTCACTCCACACCCGGCCAATTGTCTTGCTTGGTACTGACACTCTTTTCAGCTGCCGATTCCCTGCTCCGGCATTAGTTGTTCCGGCATCCTTCGTTGCGAGCCCTAATACCCTCTCCAAACCCGAGTCCCTGGCCGCAGCGAGACTCTCACTCTACGCCCTCCGAGACCCGCCATGTCCTACTACAATGACCCCTCGTGGCCCGCTCCTGGCCGGCAGCCATCCTGGGAACAGCCGCAGCCGCCGTCGCGCTCTGGTATGGAAGACCACTGGAATGTCGTCCTGGGGGCAGTTGATAACGGCCAGACAGGTGCAAGCTCAACCGTGAACCGGGACGAAGCCAATGCTTTCGTCTCTCAATTCGATGGTACGTGGGGTCTATCTAAATCAATACTGCGTCCTGTCTGCTGCCTAGTTGGCATGACAGCACAACGCTGTGCGCAGCCATGGCGTGCACTCCATCAGACTGACGCTTGCTAACACTGCTTCTGCAGAGGTCGACCGTGCCGCAGACAACCTCGCCAAGAGTGCCAAAGGATTCGCGTTTCCCACTCAAGTGGGTGGCAACCGCCGAGATTCGATGCCTGTCATGGCCCCTCGTCCGTACCCTGAATATGGTAGGAGGTTCCATACAACCCTTTTCCCATCAGATACTGACCTCACCAGACCCTCGCATGGGCGGCGGCCCCCAACGGCACCACTCCGTGAGCGAGTACGACGGAATGCGATCCCACTCGGCGTCCAACGTCCAGGGCTACTACCAGAGCCAACGCTATGCGCCCCGACCCAACGATGCCGATCAGATGGCCCAGGCAAAACGTCGGATGGCAGCTCAGCGCGAGCGGGAGTTGCGCAACTATCATCAGGAACAGCAGTATCACAGAAGTAAGGACTCGGAATCTGGGCAACAATAGCGTTGGGACGGTTGGTTAACTAGGGTAATGCAGATGTTTCTGGTTCCAAATCCGACCGCTCCATGAGTCCCAACGCCATGAGTGAAGAGGATCGCCGGGAGCTCATTGCTCGCCAGCACCGTGCCCTGTATGGCGAGAATTCGGGCTTGTACACTAGCAACAATCCTACCTCGAGCCAGGACGTTCGAGTCAACACCTCTGGTGCTGGTCGCGGTACCTCCCCTTTGGCCTTTGATCCGTTCGGCATGCAAGCGCAGTCCGGCGAGGGTGTGGTTCAGATGCCCTCTCGAGACAAGGATACTACTGGCGGTGCTCAGGAGGCCCGTGCAAACAGCAACTCCTCGCCGTCCTCGAACCAGAACCCGACCTTTAGCCTGTTCGAGAACACACAACAGGCGAGCCGCACCTCCAGCTCTTCTCCCGGCGGATCTCCTCCTCGCCAAGGGGCAAAGTCCTCCAACGGCTCGGGCGTCGCTCCGATTGGAACTCGCCCTACCACGAACCAGGGTCAACCGGCTGGTGCTCCCTTGAGCAAGCGATCCACGACTCCTCTCCCGTCGCCGCTCAGCTACTCGTACAATGCAAGCGAGCAAAACAACAACAATTCTAATGAGCGCACTACTTCTGCTTCTCTGAACCCGTCCTCGACCGTCACCGACAAGGGCGTAAGTGGCATTTGGAACAAATCTGGTGTTTGGGGAAATAATACCCATGGTGTACAGGCTTCGGTCTGGGGTTAGAAGTCTCTGTTTGGGTTGGGGAGTTCGATGCACTTCCGGAGTTTCTGCATTTGAGGTGTCTCGGGCATTTTGAGTCGGTCTTCCAAATTGGGCGGAGCAGGTTAGGGTGGGTCGGTGAAAATTACCCAGGGTTCCAGTCATCTCGTTACGGCGTGCTTGCTGCATCCGACTCCGGGATTTCCAATGGGCGTGTCTGCACTCTTTGCACAGATCGATCGTAATATCCCCTTTTGGTGCGTCGGGAACAGGGTCTGTACGGTTGTTGCACGCAAATCGGGTTAAGGTTGGTACTGTTTCCTATTCAAATAGCTGTTCAGTCTTTTGGTGCTGGCGTGGTTCTCGGCTTATTCATTTTTCGAAGGCAGTTTTACGGGTTCTGGTCGGCGGTTTTGGGGGATCAAAGATGGATGGTCAGGACTCCTTCTAGTATCTCTGTCGTCTCGGGTGATTGTACCCCATGTAAAGGACGGGATGGGGCACACTTGGTGTTAATGGCAAAAGTGGTTTTCAGGGGTAAACAAAGTCTGATACCTAGATTATAACTGATTGTGACCCTTTTGCAACTTGTTCCCTTGGTGTGTCCATTCCGCCCGAGACGATTTCATGTCAACATTTCAAGTGATAGATCGTTGAGAACCGAATTTCCCGTACTGGAAGGCAATATTAAGGTCACGTGCTTCTGTCATTGCGGCTCCTTAGCGAGCGGACAAGGCCGCGCTAACCCTGACGTTCAACCCCAACTAACATTTCTAGAAGCGTGGCCTCTATGAACCCTATACCCACCACAGTAACCCCAATTCCACCGCACCCACTTCCCGTTCTCTCTTCGCTTCTCTTATAATCCAGTTCAAACCAAGAGATTCGTATTCATTATGGTAAGTACCTCGATTTTTATTCCACACCCCTCGTTTAGTCCACGTCGAGTGGACTCCTGGCAGCCAAATTCTTTCTACGACACGGCTCTTCAATGAACATTTTAGCGCATATATTTAGAATTCACACTTCTCACTCGCTGAAGCCAAAGCTGCACGACTGCCTCGCTTGAATTTCGCAATAGCTCTTTGATTTTCCAACGCCATTGGACGCAACTTCCGGCCTTCTCTTTCCCAACGTCTCCTTAGCACTGCTAACATAATACCATTCTAGTCTTCCCCACGCGCTCAATCCCCCGCTAACACCCCTTCTGGTCCAACTACGGCGCGCCCGGCGTCGCCGAAGCCTCCAGGCGGTCCCGCGACGGTGATGCGAAGGAAGGCGGCCGCCGACCGCGCGGAGAAGGTGTCGAACCAGCGACCAAGTAGCACGCGAGCGGCCGGTGCAGGCGGAAGCTCAAGCACTATGCTGAGTAAGTAGAGATTTTGATGTTGGGAGGAGATGCGGATGGGCAAGGACTTGATATGGGCAGACAAAGAGCCGAGGCACAAAGTGGCGGAGCGACTCTACGTTCAGATGAAACGGGGACAATATTTGAGCACCATCCAAATTGGTGAACAACTTGCTGACGATTTGCGCTTTCCAGGGCTCTACACGGATGAATCTCCTGGCTTGAAGGTCGACCCGGTTGTGGTCATGACCCTTTCCGTCGTCTTTATCTTCAGCGTTGTTTCTCTTCACGGTATGAATGAAGTTCCACCCCTTCATAACAAAGCCTCTCTAACGCAATTCCAGTCATTGCTAAGGTCATGCGCCGATTCTCCTCATAATCACCTCAACACTCTCTCCCACACTCTCACATTCTGTAATGGTAGGCGCTCTGCTGCAGCGACACCATCAATAACTCTTATCCCCGACAATACTACATCTTCTCCCTAGCCTCCTTCATTCTCTCCGGCTCGTATGCTCAGACTCCAAGGATGGAAAAGTTTACTGACTGAAACCAATACCTTATCATTTATTTTGTCCACGGCGGTATAGGTGGTGTGTCTGGTCCGGGTTCTTTGCATGGTGTATTATAGGATTTGCAATGAAATAGGAAAGTTCCCGATTTCTGTGTGATCGACTGTTTTATTTGCAATAGGTTGTAAGAATTCCACGACGAGTGATACTGTGAGGTTTGCTTGTGACACAAGGGAGGTGCTGGGCTGATGCTTATTGTGGGATTGTACGGGCTACGGGATCGTGTCTTTCCAGTCTGTAAGTGATTTGTCCGATCCTAGAATCTTGTTTCCTTCCAGCCCTCTACTTCTTTGATTCTGAAAGGCATTATGTTCTTTCAAACCACAAACTCTAACTCCCTGCAGGCCTAAGGATCATCCCAACTCAAATCCCATATCCATACAATCTCTCACCAGCTTTATTGCTGAGCACGAACCCGAAATGTCATGTTTCACTGACATTCATATTCACGTTACTGCTCTGATGGGTTCTGGTGATGCTATCCCGATCATATTCCATGAATTAAGGATATACCGGAATATTCCGGCCTAGACTCTGCAGAAACCCACATGCTATTGACCCCTTCCTTAATTCCAGCAATAGGCTTATCAGATCAAATCTTTCCTTTCAATGTTCCGGGGAGAATATTTATCAATCCAAACGACTATAAACAATTTGCGAATTGTCTTGTTCCGAATAGTTCTCTCCGATCTGCAAGCTGCATAAACGCCTAATCTATAACCAGTTAGCACTACGACCAACACGAGGGTCTGTGATACTGAAACCACGACTCCACCGCCGTAATCCACCTCACCTAGACTTTAGCCATGTCTTCCGTCGTAATCCTCGGGTAAGAACCGCCTCTCTTTCGAAACCCTTTCAATTCCACCCCAGCTCAACTGAATTTCAACCACCCCAGCGCCGGCGTCATCGGCCTCCAAACCGCCGTCTCTCTCCTCGAGGCTGGATATAATGTGACCATAATTGCAAAGCACTTTCCTGGTGATGAGTCAATTGAATATACATCGCCCTGGTGAGACCGGCCCCCCCTTTTGTTATTAGATGGAAGGATTGGGGCTCTAAGATAGGTGGTTGATGTTTGATAGGGCGGGCGCTATATGGCGTACTCACGCGACTCCAGATCAGGAAGAGCAGTGTCGATGGGATTTGGAGAGTTATAAGAGCTGGATAGGTGTGTTGGAGAATGATAGGGGGCTGGCGGAGGAAATGGGGATTCAGGTTAGCCTTCAATTTATACTATTCAAGGAACTACTCGTGCTGGGTCTTGGACTGACGGGGTTGATAGCGTCGTCCGATTCATGTGTACTCGTTCGTCTTCTCGTTTAACGCCCCATTAAGTTTCGTCATCTACCATGTTGTGCTATGCTAACACTTCGCCGTCCTCTCAAGAGGAATACCCCACAGCCCCAATCCATCCTCCCCTTCCCTCTGGTTCTCATCGCACGTCCAAAACTTCTCCGTTATTCTGCCAACCGATCTCCCACCTGGCTGCCTCAGCGGGGTTGCGTATGACTCGATCGCTATAAACCCTTCAAAATACCTCTTCTTCCTGCTGTCCAAAGCCTCTAGACTCGGCCTCCAAGTCATCAAAGCCGATCTCCCAACTTCCGCCGGACTTTCAGGCGCTATCTCATCGACATTAAGCCTTATTGAAACCAAAGCCTCAAGTCCCGACGGCAGCAACGCTTTCCCCATCGTCATCAACTGTACCGGCCTAGGGGCAAAGTCTCTCTGCCCCGCCGATTCCTCAAACCTTTACCCTATCCGCGGGCAAACGCTCCTCGTCCGCATCCACCCGTGCCCTCCCCCCAACATTCTACGTATCATCATGCACGAAGACCCCTCCATCGCTCCCGCTGTAACGTACATCATTCCGCGTCCCGGGACTAATGAGTTTGTCCTCGGCGGCACGAAGAAGCCAAACGATTGGAGTCCTGAGCCGGATGCTGAGACCTGTGAGAGGATTATTGCCCGGTGCAGGAGTATCTGGCCTGATATGGCAGACGTTGAGATCGAGATCTCGAGTATGCAGGTTGGGTTGAGGCCGGGGAGGAAAGGGGGGGTTAGGGTGGGGGTTGAGGAGATAGATGTGGGGGTAAGGGAGGGGGTGATGGGGAAGGTGAAGGTTGTGCATCAGTATGGGCATGCGGGGGCTGGGTATCAGAATTCTATTGGGAGTGCAAGGAAGGTGGTCGATTTGGTGAGGGGGATTGTCGAGTGAAGGGAAGGGAGGGGGGGAAGGAATGCGAGGAAAGAGTGGGGTGGAAGAATGGGGTGGAGGAACGGGGTGAAGGAACGGGGCTGGGGAATTGATGGGCTGGGTATTTTCTTGAGTGGATGAGTTGTGTAGCGATAGGAGCTAATGTTTACAGACATACACCAGGAATATATTGATCTAGAATAGAATGGTTCCAGAGGCGTCTGGAGAGGATGCTGGGAGGGTGCCTAGGATGAGGATGGCCTTTCTTTTCAGAGCCCACGAGCGCCTGGCTTTTGGTACGCGACTTCCTGCCACAGCACTCCTTACGCCAGCCGAGGGAGCCATGAATCAACGAAGTTAGGCTCGAGTTATCTCTGCACTCAACTCTCTTACCAGCTCACTCAGAATCCTTAAAGTAACCACGCGGACGATATATTTAACAATCTTTATGTCGGTTCTCTCTTCCCTCAACCTCTGCCCGAGAATCTCAAACTTCAAAATCTCCCCTATACACTCCTTAAACCTCCCTCAATCCGATTCTTAAGTCTGACATAGCGTCCATTACCGTCGTTTCCTCGTAGGCTTGTGAGGTAAAGCGGTCTCGCAATGGCACTTCATGACCACACTCATCCACAAGCAGAGTCAGTACCTCATAGTCTAGCATTGGGAATTCCGTCGTTTCGATTGCAGGCCACAGGGTTGCTACCAGTTTGCCTGACCAAACGAATATTAAGACAAATCCAGCGACGATCGCATACCCGACTACTACTCCCCATGATGGAATCGCGCGATGGTCAACGATACAGTATGAACCTTTTATATAGTTCTCGGCTGGTAGATTCGGCGCCTCAAGATCCGATACATTGCCGAGACTGACAGATTGGTTGGCGTACGCCATTGCAGTCGGCTGGAAGAGATACACGGGCATGGTGAGAATGTTCCTAAGCCAGGAAATTCCAAAATCAAGGGCATACGCATTTGGTTTTGCCAACGAGAAGAAAAGCGTTCCACCCAGCAGCTGTGTTAGTTGGTATTGGGCAGACTTCCCCTCGTATCGAATATCGTTTCCACTTTCATTGGCATGGCTAGGCCGATATAAAACGTTGTTGAGAGACCCAAATAGCTGCGAAGGAGATATTTGCTGAGGAATGGGCGAAGAAAGCGCTCTTACTTCCTGAATAGTTGTGTCTGAGCGCGAGAAGGTAATAGTCGCTTTGCGTCTGTAGAACTTTAAGTACGTCACCCAACCACGTGCATTCTCAGGTTGAAGACACGTTCCATTGGGTGCATAGCCTTTTATGCAGCTCTGCCAACCTGTGGTTGAACTGCAGGTTAATCCGACATATCTGAATCAAATGTCTGCAAGGTGGCTTACGTACCTGCTGCGAGCAGACCATCGGGAGATTGTTGCGCTAGGCAAATGTCCATGGAAAATTCGTAGTACGAGTCCAATCCTCCATACAGGGTACAATCGCGAGACTCACTAAAGGTCAATGTATTCGGTGCAGGATCCCAAAGGTCCACCTGATAAAACGATGCATCTTCGAGGCGAAATCCATCGGCAGCGTCACCTTCAATGAAAGCAAATGGCCATGGGGCTGTCGTCAAAGAAGGACCAGCGAGAAGATATGAGGTGCATGAACTATTCGTTTTACAACTTTCACTAATAGGATCCATTGGCCACGAGATGGATCGGTCTTTCAGCATATTCTGCGCAAATCTGGATGTATAGACGCTTGACATGGAGCGGTAGGTGCTTGCTAGCCCCGGGTCGTAGAGTGCTAGACCTCCAGAGACATCGAGAGTTCGTACTGGAAAATATACATCCCTTTGCGGAACACTCGCTTTACTCGCACATTAGCTCGACATTTGACCAACAGATATCTATCATGGAAGGAAAAAGAAGAAGAGGCTCACCCATCAGAATGATTCCTGGCCCAGGAATCAGTGCAAAAATGAATCCTAGTCGCACCAGACTCCAGACTCCAGCTGAATTCCGCGGCAAAAATTTACGAGACGATTTCCGGAGGATTCTAAGCAAGCCCTCCGCTCCAGTACTTGAAATCAACGCAAGAAACCACCCCAGATTTACTCCACTAAAGACACCTCGCCCACCAATGCGCCTCATTTCCTTCAGCCTTCGCCAGGTCAAAGTATCAACGGTATCTTCGACAGCAAACGCGAAACTGATGTCTCCAGCTTTGGCGAGTATAGTTAAGAACCAGTTACCAAGAGGGGCGGAAACGCTTCCAAGGAGAGTATGCCGGTAAGGAGCAGAAGCGGCGATATAAAGAGTGATGGAATAAACCAAAGTGGCCATCGCAGGTTTGAAGAAATATTTGACGAAGGGTCCAAACCTGCCCGGTTTCGTCACTGTAGGAAGGCTATGCTGTGGACCTAATGTTGCTGGTAGAGGAGCAGTCGGGACTGAGGCATTCACCCCAGTCCGGAGTGGCCTGAAGATTTGAAGGGGACTTGAGCTCATTGGCACGGATGGAGTTTGGAGTTCTCTTAACTCTCGGCTTTTCCTTAGGACCCCAGAGGCTATAAGGCTCGAGGCACCACGTTACTGATGAGGCTCTGCTGTCAGTACGAGAAGGGAAAGAACATCTCCTTGCTCTCTCGTCCTTCGAATTGTCCCAGCCTGCGATTCGTCCATCATACGCGAAGTCTGCGCAGTCAATAATCGCGTCAGTGCTCAGCTTCAGCCACCAGCCGCCACAATACTCGAACCGAGCCGTTCCGGCCGTGGTGATCAGAAGACAGTCGAACCAACTTCCCGTTCAGTTCGACGCCATGAATGCGGGACACCGCGGATAACCTCCTGTCCAAACGAACCTTGCGATGCTGAAGAACCTTCAAAATTTCTTGCCAACATGGAGTAGGCACACGATCCTTGTTTTCAGCTAGCTTGGCGCAATCGCTGCGTCAGGAAATCAGAACAGGAGAATGAAAACTATGGCGTTCCTCACCTCATTCCCCCCGACAATCATTTCTCGATGAAGGTCTTGAAATACGAGCTCCCACCAACCAGACCCTCGTCTAGAGTGGAAGATGTGTATCACAACATCAACACAGACCTCTGTCTAACCACCTTCCGCGATGGGTATTTCATGGCGAAAGAGACACCTCCATGTGGAGGAAGTGAGATTGCAGTTCCTCATCCTTGCTTCAAAATTCTGAACGAGTAGAGTAGAAAGAATGTTCTTACCAGTCTTGCCTCTTCTCCCCTTCTTTGTGCTCTTAAACACTGCATCGGGAGCCTTACACCCCGCGAAGAGACAATTAAACACTATCGTTGACGTATGTGGTACCGATCCTGTTGACTGCCACAACGGATGGTGCTGTATGATGGGACAAGAATGCATCCCAGCCTCGGGCAACGCCGAGCCGCAATGTCGCGACAATATCGTGACTGACCTAGGAGGGTGCGTGTTCATCTACTCTGCCGAAGGAATGCCGACTCCATTATTGTGATGGCTGACCTTCCACAGCGATCCTTTCACCTTTCAAGCCTTCGCCTTCAGCTCTCTAATATCCGCTCTGTCCTCCGCAAACAGCGCGCTTCTGTCTCTGGGTATTACTGTATCGACTTTCCCGACGGTGCTGCCGACCACGGGGAGGTTTACCGCCCTGCCAACGTATACGGAAAATAGTGTGGCTTCGTTCGTGCCGCCGACTAAAACGCCGTCTGTTGCAGCTGCGACTCCTTCGAAGACGGGTGCTGCAGTGATGCCGACCGTGAATATAGGAATGATGGTTGGGGGAATTGTTGGTGCGGGAATGGGCATGATGATCGACGCATGAATGCAGCATGGCCTAAAGAATTTAGGATGAAGATAATGATGCTGCACGAATAGCGGATATGTTATGATAGGAAATACTTCGTGAAGATATGAGAGCATTGAGCATCCCTTGTGTCCAGGAATTCCCCCGGTGCCATACTACCTCTTACCATGCAATGTTCAAGTAGAATGAGCGCAACTCCTATTCTACTTACCTAAATTCACGTTACATATGTGCCATGAATGCGTGCACTTCACATATCCAGGGCCCTGCTATGTATTCACTGCAGAGATTCAGAACCTCTGAGACCGCCTCATCTCGGAATTGGTGAATGGCTGGAAGCTGTTGGTGCCTGGGGATGATTCTTGAGGCTGGCGGAGAGAGCTGAGTTTGGTATTCGGACCGTTATACAAAGGCCAGAGCAACGGCAACCCACCTGTTACGAAGTCATGGAGTCGATAGATATAATCTCTCCCCGAAAGCGACGGTGCAGGCGGTAGAGGTGGAGGCACCCAGAGCATTTGAGTATAGAGCCGAGAACCGCGGAGTCCTTAAATGCTCTGTGAGATTAGTATCGAATTTGTTCGGAAGGGGGCTCGAATACGAAAAGGATGGCTGTTCGTGAGGGAGAGTTAAGTTGAAAGATGTGCGAGGTCGTTCTTGGGACCATTTTGTGAAGTACGACGGTAAATCCGAGGGAAATAAATGGTCTCCTGTGTTGCGTGCAATCTCCTCATGGCGCTTATGTTGATAGATGTGCCTTTCATCCAGATGGCACTATGTACCCTCTCAATGGGCACATAATACTGCTCCGACAACCCCCAATCCGAGTATTTCCCCCCATTAAGCTGTTCCATGCCCCAACTCTAAGATATCTCATGCACACTTCTACCTAATCTGTGCAATCCTCGGGCGTAAGCTTTGTTTTCCAGTCCCCGTTTTCATAGATATCTCTTCCGCCTAAATTTCTTGTTCTGTTGGAGCACTCCTAGCTCCGAACTCCTTGGATTGGGCTCAGTGATGTTCATTGCGCTTGATTCACAAAGTTGTCCACCGTGGTGTGCTCAAAAGATAGGTGCACTTCTCCCTCCCGGCATCTTTAGGAGTTTTCTGAAACATATTGGTATACTGCTTTCCGTCTGAATATGATGTTTCCAATTTGCTCATCGATAAGAATTCAGACCGAGGACCTCTTTTCTAGTGCTGCATTCACCGCTATAACAAGGTTTCTATCGTCTTCCAGGATTTTTGTCATTGCTCGTTAGCAGAGGTAAAAACTAGCGAAGGTGTGTATCTTACCCAGCGGATCTTGTTCTCCTTCAGGCAGACTGCAGCCTCCACAGTGCTGAATGCGGAGCCCATCTGTGTGGCGTCATAATGGTGGTTGAAGCGCCAAGATAAATACTAATGGAAATGAGATGGGAGTGCTTTGTGGCATCAGCCGAAAAGCGATGGGAAGGAGTTAGATATGAAAGGAACTGAACATCATACAATCATGCATACCCCACAGAGTTGTTTGACAATTTCTTGCAATCAAGCAGCCGGGGACATGGCTGAGAAGAACCCTAGAACTCAACAGACAATACAGCGAATGAAGGTAGAAAGAGTGGACAGATTCACCACTCTCCTCGAGGTATTTATCTGTAATTGGACTCGTGGGTGCTCATGTTGGCGGTTTGCAGGAATCAGAGCCCGATGAATTCGAGATTCTCAGAGAGGAAAGTCCTTAGACGGGGAATGAGATACTGGGTGGGGTTGTAAAACAGATACTTTAGATTGAAACGCCCTCTAGAATTTGAAACCCCAGGAGCACATGTAGTCCTGTCTAGTGTGGCGTGGTCTATCATTTGTTAACCCTCTCTGTCTTGCTCACTGACCTTTATACCCCTCAACCAGCACCACAGGTCCTTTGTAATGCTTACGTCCACGAATCGCATAATCGAGCATAGCCAAGATTCCAACGCTAACGAACATGACGATAGACCAGTTGAAGCTTTCTTTGTCGACAGGGGTGGCATTAGGCCAGAATGCCCAGAAGAAGGCGTGAATGGAGTACAGGAAGCCACCGATATTGACGGGAATGCCCCAGCGGCCTAGAGACCAGCGGCACCGCGGAAGGAGTTCGGGATGGTAAATGCGGCGGTAAAGGACGGCGCCGATGCTGAAGGTGTAGGTGATCATGAGCGAGACTACGTTGAGGGAGATGACTGTATGTAAGTTAGATATGGGCGATGAGAACGAGAGGGGTTAGTAGACTTACTCGCATTGAAAGCAACATCAGACCCAATATTAATGAATGACAGCGCAATCGTAAACAGACAAGTCACGGTAACTGCATTAGCCGGGACATGCAATCCTTTGTGAACCGTCCCAATCCAATCACTAAACGGCAAACCCTTGTCTCTTGCAAACGCCCATGTCTGTCTAGACGTCGACAAATTGAAGCTCAGGGTCCCGGCAAAGATCAGCAGCGTCGGGATTACATTTAGGGCCACAACACCACCTGAAGAAACGGCTTGACTGAAGACCCAGATGTGCGGATAACCCGTGGCATCGTTCAACGCCGCTTCCACGTCTGTCATCATGAACATGTACGAGACAAGGAACGCGAGGCCCAGTGCGCCATTGAGTACGTAGCTACCAACCATGGCGCGAGGAACTGTTATACCGGCATCTTTTATCTCTTCGGACATGTGTGCTGCGGCGTCGGAACCTGGGTTAAGTCAGTTGCGAGTGCTGGATTAGAGCTTGCATTTAGATTAGGGATTACGAGATAAGACGACTTACAAATGCAAGCATAAATTGCCGAGATCTGACCGACCATTAGAGCTAAACCCATTGAATTCCATCCGCCTCCGTTAGTGAATTGTGTGAATGTGACTTTTGCTGGAGCTCGAGGAGAGAGCACCCAGAGGATGATGATGATGGCTAGGAATCCGAAGACGTGAATCATGAGCATCACATTCTGGAAGACTGGCATAAGATTCGCACCCCAGATGTTCAGCACCCAGACTAAAATGGTGACGGCGATGACCATGAGCGTACCTTGCCAGTTCGTTGGCGCGTAGTCGGGATACATGACTATAGCGCAGGCTTGGATAAGGGTCCCAACGAGAAAGGGTCCAGAAGCGGTGCCGGCTTGCCATGACAACGTCGACATCCAGCCTATAGATAGGAGGGTTAGTTAGCATAGGATTCTCGGAATTTCAGAATGTGCAGGATTAGCTGTACCGATGAAGTAGCTCATGGGCTTTTGAAACCTCGGCGGAGAAAACTCGCTGACCCAGTGGTATTGGCCGCCAGCAGTACTGCGGAAGAAGTGAGTCGTGCATTCAACGCGCCTTTGAGTTCCATGGCTTTACTTACGGTGCCATAGAGGACATTTCGGCCAGAGACGCGATGACAAGACTGAATCCGAAGAATGTCCAAATGTAGGACCATATTAGTCCTGCAGGACCACCGTCGACCAGGCCTTGGGTCGTGGCTCTGGGATAGCAATGTCAGTGAGACATCAACAGGTTGGGATTGAAGGGGATGTACGTCATGAGGACTTCCCATGTTCCTTGGATGATAACTGTAAAGGCTAAAGCTGATAATGGACGATAATTTCTCTAGTAAAAGCCTCGTCAATAAACGGTCGTATAGAACGAAGAACATACCGACCCTCAACTCCTGGATTTTCCCCATGCGGGACATATCCGCTCGGTCATTTCGAGTGTGTCCCTTGAGAGAGTCGTGGTACGTCTCTCCGGCATCCTCATCATCGAAGCTCTGGGGCTTGGGGAGAGGGGTGTCGATCTCGCTATGAGGAGTCTTGCCAACTCCTCCCTCCTTCGCAGCGAGATTGTCAAAGGACGCCATAACGACTACAAGGAGAGACAAGCCGAAAGACAGGTCAACGAACGATCACCACATGTGGGCTTGAAATGTGATAGAAGTACAGTAACAGCAGAGCATGGCCTGATGAAAAAAAGGACCAAAAGTCAATGACTGTCGGGTCGTATCGCAACCTGATTCAAGAAGCGAAGTGCTCGTGCAACACGCAGAAAATTGATGCAGCGGCACCTTGGTATTCCAGATCCTGCATGCCGTCCGTGAAAAGGCAATACTTCCCGTCATTTAAGTCGTCAACAATGATCATCAAGCGCGCCACTCGGAGGCATGGCGCGCGATGCCACGACACGACCCCGGCCCGTACCCTGGTTTAATACTAGCTTCAAGCCGCACAACGCGAAGATTCGTGATGCTACGTCCCATGCCAACAGCACGAATTGCAGTCCTCAAGACCTATCCTTCTTGAAAAAATAAAATAAAAATAAAAATGGAAGTGATACAGAGTAGTCTCGATATTCTTCCCTAAAATCATCTGAACTATCGCCCTTCAATTTTGTTTTACAATTCCATGCCCTTCTCAAATGGCAATTGAGATGTTCTCTTCCCGATGCGAACGGGAAGTGGAACGACGCCCAGGATGCGGCGATGCCACCCAACGCCTCGCGTCAGCACCACCGAAAGACTCCCTATCTCTGGGTCTCCAGACTCGCCGAATGGCTTCCACAGTCAAGCCTGGGTCAATGATGCCCTCGGTCCATATCTCATCGCACAAGCCACCACAGTTGGCACCAACCGCCAGAGACGACAGCAAATCGATGTGGCATATGCCGTCCATATGCCGTCCATTGAGGGGAAATATGTGGAACCTCCTAATCTCCTGAGCTCTTCCATTTAGAGGACCACATCCTAACTTGTTGCTCCTTTCGAATGCTTGAAACTATCGCGATCGGTCATGTTGACAGAAGTGTTACCGCCTCCCTATGTGATCACTTTAGATGACAAGCGGGGTCTGATTGTTGTTATTACGGCGACGACATTGTCTTTCGTTTGGACATGTTTTCTCATCCGGATATACCTGCGAGTTCAGACAAGAGAATGGCGATCGGATGACTACTTTCTCGCCGCCGCATCAGTACGCTCGGCCCGGCCCATCGTGCCTTATGCCTAATCTTCGATCGCGGACGCTAATTTCATGGGACAGGTATTAGGCACCGTACAATCCGCACTGGTGCTTCACATAGTCGACGAGGGAATCGGGAGGTCTGAAAAGAGTTTGTCAGGCTCCGATCTGAACCAGATCGGCAGGGTAGGTCTGCATCGCGATCGTCGCAAGGGTTTTCGTGCACGACCGATCCACACCATGAACCATTATCTGCGGTTCTAACAATCTTCAGGATGATTTCGCGTCGCAAATCCTGTACATTATCACGCTGTTTCTGTCGAAATGTGCTGTAATATTTCTTTATCTGCGCCTTAGCCCTGGCAAAGGACATACGATTGCCTCGTGGGGGACACTTACAGCCTCTGGTGTATGGACGATCCTAGCGATTGTATTGGTTTCAGTGCCCTGCAATCCGCTTACTTTCTGGACTCAAGGACCTACCAAGTGTACTAGAGTTGTAAGTCCCTTTGGCTTTCCTTTTAGCTCATCAGAATCTAACAGTCACAGTACACAAGATGGCAGGCCATCGGGGCAATAGATATCATCACTGAAGCCTGCATCTTCCTCATCTCGGTCTACCTGGTCGCAGGTCTGAACATGGCCACGAAATCCAAAGTCATGGTCATTGCAGCCTTCTCCGCCCGACTTCCGTATGTTTCTCATCTACCCTACCCCACAAACCCCCTTCTTCCTAACACCTCCCAGCGTCATAGCAGCAGCCGCCGCCCGCCTCTTCTACCTCTCTAACACCCTCACCTCCCCCAACCGAACCCTCTACGGCAGCTACTACATAGTAGCCACGCAGTGGCAACTCGGTTACGCCATCATGTCATCCACAATAACCGGGCTTGGTCCTTTCCTCCGGCCCTTCTCCAAATCCTTCAGTACCTCCTACCATCGCTCCTCCTACTCCTACCACCATAGCAAGCCGCAATCTGCAATCACAATCTCTCGGAGCAACGGCGACACGACTAGCACGAGCTACCAAATGGACACTCTTCAAGCGCGAGCTGTGTCCATAATCCATGGGAGCGGACGACCGGTGGGCGATGAAGAGAGTAGAGGGCCGGCTAGTTCTCAGACCGCGATTCTACCAGCCGCGGCTCCGGGACTGAATCTTCGACCCGATGAGTTCAGACGCGACACAGCGGTTTCAGGAGGAGAGGTTGGGATGGACGAAGAGGATGCTATGAGTCGGTTGAGTGATGAAAGCCGGCGGATGATGATTCGGAAGAAGACGGTTTTGACAGTGCAAAACGACCGCGCGAGTGAGGTTGGGAGTCCGCGGTGGAAAGCTGGCGTTGACGCTGTGTGATGTCGCTCTAGGGGTTTGTAAGATGTGGAGAGTTATGATGATGATCGTGCGAGGACGTGTTTCACAGCAAGCGTAAAGCGTAAGACTCCGGACGGTCTGTATAGTCCGGGAGTTTCATCGATGATTAGTTTAGGTTATTGGATGGCATAGACGGTGGATGTTCTGAATACTGTAGACAATATGCTTCACAGCCATCAAGACGCTGTTTGATTCCTCACGCACCTTTCGAATCCTGATCCTTCCTTCTCTCACCACCCTCACATATTTCGAAATCCTCTTAGAGGTAGGTCATGTTGCATATATAATCCACCATGAGCCATATTCCGGATTACACCTCCCTCAATATCCTACACCTCCTGCAGCTGAGCCCTTCCATAAGTCTTCAAAAATTCCGATTCCATAGTAACGAAGATAAGCAAGGACTCCCGTGCTCGGCAATAATCATGTCCCCTCGCGCTTTTGGCTTTGGAGAACAAGAAATCGGAAACAGATGGGGTGGAGGGCGCTGGAAAATATCGGGATGTATATACATGTCAGACAGGAGAGTGGGAAGGTATCATACGTGGATACTTGAAAAAAGACAAACACGCCCGAAGCAATAGTAGAAGCAGTAGTGAACGATTTGGTGAACAAAGTCTCCATTAATCGTATTCACTTACCATCCATTCGAAGGTATCCACGCTCAGCAAACACAGGCATGCACGCATACGCACGTATCTCCAAAACAAAGTTCATGAGAAAGTTGTCGTAACCGAAACACGAACGCAAAAAAATAATTTCCGTCAGTCCCTTGCATGCTCGCGGCAATCGCGCCGAAGCGAACATTAGATCAGATCATCCCCATTCGATCAGCCCCGGGACCGGGCGCTTCTCCGCACTGTGCCATTCACAGCTGGACTTGAGGAGGGGTTACCGTTGGCCTTGGGCTTTGGTTTGGTCTTAGCTGACGTCGCCGGCTTTGGCGATGCTATCACCTGGGGTGTTTTTTTCCGGGTCACCCTCCTGACGGCTGCCTTTCTGGGCCGCTCTGGTTCCGATTCTACCTCTGGCTCGGACTCTTTCTCTGCGTCCGTCATCTCAACGTCTTGAGCTGGTGGAGTATTTTCTCTCTCGCTCGCCTCAGCCATCTCCTCGTCCTGTTCAGCTCCATCCCCAGCATCAGCTTCATCCTCATCGGAGCTGACTTCCACGTAACTTTTAGCGTTGCTTCGTCGGTCGCTCTTCCTCCTAGGTCCGCTAGACAGTATAGTACGAACTTCAACGTCGTCGTCTCCTGCATCACTGTCTCCGCTCTTTCTCTTCTTCTTTTTGGGTGTTTTGATAGTGCGCTCCACCTTGGCCCTCTCTTTTTTAATGCCCTTCTCAGTCTTAACCTTCTTCTTAGATTTGTCCGGATTGAAAGTATTCTTCCGCTTTTTGCTCTTCAGCGAAGAACGCACGACGAGTTCTAGCGCCTCGATAACATCGTCGCTCACCCACACTTTATCAGCAATCTCTTGCGCGCGTTCGTGGCTCTCCAAAGACCTGAAGATGCCAGCAGGTAATTTCAACTTTCCGGGCCAGGATTGCATGCTCCACCCGTTTTGCTCCTCCCAGAGACGTATGATGGCCTGTGAAAGGTCTGAAAGGATATACAGCCTCTCATCAGCTTCTGTTGAGCGGGTGATACCATCTGCGACACCTTTGACACGCTGCGCAACATGGTAGATGAGAGAAAGATTGTCTGGTGTTGCAACACAATTGAGGTAGAGAAGGATGTATTTCGCCACCATTATTAAATTGTCGTGATCGGTATCGAAATCAGGATGGTGGGCAAGCAGGCTGAGTAAGCGGGCGAATATGGTTTCGAGCGTTGTTTCTTTGCGGGCAGCAAATATCGTTCGGCGCGACCGAATCCAGGTAATGACGCTCTCTTTAAAGTTAGTATCGGGTTCATAAGCGAGAAGAAAAAGGACGGCGTAATATCGAGTAGGTAGTCGGTTCTGTCCCAGGTACTTCATCAGCTTTGTGGCGAAACCTTTGCGAACCTGTACGATAGGATCTTGCAGAACGACAGAGAGCTGGTTAAAGTTCGCGGGTGTGAGTAGGTTGTCGAAACGCCGGTTGCATGACAGCTTGATGAGAAAAGTAGCTGCGAGGAGGCGTTGAAGGCTTTTGTGCCCTTGTGGGGTAGTCTTCTTCTTCGACGCTTCGCCGCTATCCTCGACGAGTTTGTTGAGTAGCTTGTAAACGGGACCTGCCGGGTCGGTAACGCTGCTTTCAGGAGAAATGGCGCGTAATCGGTTTACAAGAATCTTGAGAGCCCATGTGCGGGCAACCATGTCTTCGTCAGGTGTTAGCATCCACTCTTCCTCGGCCTCAGGAGAGGTGGGATGCGGCTTAAGTAGGACCCGATTTACGGCAATGTCAATAATGGCATCTATGTCATCTTCGCATTCCTCCGGACCAAGTAATACCAGTTGGCTTAGAGCGGCTAGCTTGGTAAGGAAGTGGTCACCTCCGTACTCGAAACCTTTTGTGCTCTTCGTCAGTATTTCCTTTGCGTGCATCTCCTTCTTGTCATCACTGCTCATGATGATTGTGACTGCATGCTTCGCTGCCTTAGGTGGCGATCCATACAAGGCAAAATTGAGAAAGCTTTGGATCAGTTTGCGATTATCTTTAGCATTCACTGGCACGTCTTTGGGAAATTTTTTTGCAAACCCGGCACAAGCTTTCAGATCGTCTACCGCTCCAGACGGATTCGGATGCTTTGCGGTCGGTGCCTCGCTCTCGAGCGCCTTGCAAAGTTCTTTCATGTGAGTTGAGAACACTTTGGGATGCCTTGTTGAGATTTCTTTAAGGACCTCGTGTGCGGTTGCTGCAAGCCCATCGTCATCGGTTCGAGAAAATTCGATGATAGCGGGCACGTGGCTCTTGTTGTAGCACAGTAAACTAACCCTGTAAACTAATGGAGTCAAGATCTCTAGGAGAGTGGAGCCGGATGGACCGTCTTCAATTCGCTTCTTGAGTTCTTTCTGTTGTGTCACTTAGCTTTCGCAGAATGATCGACTACTGCTTCGTACTTACGATTGACTTAAAGATCTTCCGATAATCACTCTCTGGTGCCATGCAGAATCTGATGAGTTGATAGCTCCGGCGATCGTGGGCCTTTGCAAACTTCCATAAATCTTCGATAGCTCGAGATGCGTCGGGTAGCGTCTTGACGAAGAAGTTAATGAGACCTTCGAGTTTTCCTTTTATTTCCTTTTCTCCTTTGTTCATTACTCCTCCATTATATTCCTCGCACATCTTCAGAAAGTGCTCCATGTACGTCGCGATGGTTGCTTGGTTGCCTTGTTTGGCGAAAAATACTTTCTTTGCCTTCTCTTCCAAACCCTTTACAAGAACTAGTTGCCTCTCTACTCGTATCTTATCCAGGTCCAGCTCGGTGTACCCTGGATCCCCATTAGATTGACTATCCTTGACGACCTGCGATCCTCCATTAACCGTAGCTTTGGGCTTCATTGGAGGGTAGCCGAGAGGCAGAAGAGAATCGTATAGCGTGAGATCAACTTGAACATTGATCTCTTGATCATTGACGTAACAGGCTTCCAGTATCCTAGAGGGGATGGGGCCGAGCAGGATGGTAATTAGTTCATTCCCTTCAGCAATGGCGCCGGCTGCGACGCCCCAGATCCTCCCTAGCAGCTTCATACTCTCCGAGTGAATGACGCTCCTCTTGTCTTTCACTCTGTCCGCAAGGTTTGAAAGGATCGATCCAGAATCTGACATGCTGCCATTGCTCCCCAGCTTCTGGACGATGTCGTTGAACTCGAAGTGCTCGATAGCCCTTACAGCAGCGAGCCGGACTCGTTCGTCGCTATCGATAAGACATTCGGCGAAAGATTTGAGTAGCCTCTGCTCTTCATCGGGATCCAGCCCGACCCCGCCAGCTGATGTCATTAGGATTCTACCAACACCAGTAGTCCAAGACGAACGGATGACGGGGGATTTGTCATGTTTTCGCTGGAGGAAAGTATGGTACGCGCCTGGATACTGGGATGGAAAAGAGTTTTGTGATGTGGGTGTCGTGAGGAAGTTGTACGCTCGTACGGTTTCTGATGGTGGCACAAGGCTCTGTGATGGATAGGCGCTAGGATTTAGGTCGGGGCTCGGGGGTGGTCCTGCTGCACCAATTCCTGAGATCATGTCCCCAAAGGTCTCTGTCGCTAGTCGACGCAATTGGATATTTTCAGTGCCCAACTCTTCTTGTAAATGTGGAATGATGTCCTGCAGCACACCGGGTGCACACCTCCACAGCTCCCGAAGTAATCGATGCGCTTTGATAGCGTCTTCCAATTCATCCTCTGAAGGACCTTTGAGTCCTTCATCGCCTGACTCATCCACATCGCTACCAGCTCGCTTCCGTGATTTGTGCTTTGGCAATTCCGTCCCAGATCCAGTAAAGTCGACTATGACTGAGCTGAAATAAGCTCCAATCAGACGAGCCATTTTATCCCGAGAGGCATTGCAGAGATTTTTTGCCATATTATAGGCCGGAGGAGCCTCCTTGCGGAATAGAGTTGACTGTTTCAAATCCACGGGACCACTCTTTTTCCCCTTCGAAGTTCCAGCACCGAGTGTTATCGGGTCAGCCCACAGAAATTGTGCAACGATTTTATCCACTACGTCTGAAGATAGGCTTGGGGCCTCATCAATCAGAACGGACAGAAGCGCCGTCATATGGTGCTCGACATTTTTACTCAGCTCTTCACCATTTTCTGCTCTTGATGGCCCTGAGAGCACGTCAAAACAGTTGTTAAACAGGGTCGAGGTGAGCTGGGCAGATCCCGGGATATCAGTGAGGAGGACGATGCTCTTCACCTCAGCCAAGCACCTTAAGACGTATAAGTGTTGGCCATTGTAAGGGTTTGACGGGTCGGCCAGGAGGGGCATAATCTTGGCGATGACCAGGCTAAATATTTCCTATTCATACATGTCAGTGGTGCTAGAGTGATGGAGAATGCTGCATCTCATGCCTTGAGCTGCGGCGCCGTGTAGGGAGCATCTGGCGCGCATAGGCGGAACATATCCACCACGCAGCAAGCCGTCCATGCCCGAACACCGGCATCTTTGTGCTGCAGTAGGCTCTGGTGCGCCAATTCTTTCGCGACAGGCACGAGAGAGTCCCGGTCAGCGTCGTCCTGTTCCAGACCCCGCAGCTCATCGCACAGCGCTTTCAGTCGCGCTAGCAAATCTCCCACGCTGATCTGCTTGCCAGGTCGTCCAACAAGTGGCTGCTTAAACTTCAGCGTGCTCACGCGCTCCTGCTCCTCCTCTTCTTCAACAGTTTCGGTCGCAGCGCTTCGACGGCTTCGTGTCGCCATCCCGCGTGGCAGCGCTTTAAAAAGGGGGGACCACGGACTCGATTAAGGATTAATCTGTCGCTCAAGCTGGGAGTATGCGGGAGAAGATAGATGCGCAGGATTCTGTTGTGGCCCACGATGAGCCTGGGGTAAGGTCGTGACGGCGTGTTGGGTGATGGAAGGCGTCGAAAGCAGCTTGGAACGCGCGACCAGTAACACGCGCCTTGAGTAGGAGCACGGTCCGACTAGCTTAGTCAGTGCCGTCTTGGCATTACCTTCACCTCCGCGACCTTGTCGTCAACCTTACTATTATCGTTCGTTCGTTCTCATCTATTTTTCAGACTATGTGACTCAACTACCCTGTGACTGCTCTAAACTCGGACTCAAATTAATGGGACTTCTTCGACGGTACTTTCTGTGCAAGCCACCTCAGCCATCCTAAGCTCCAGCGAATACCAGCATGGAGAAGAAGCAAACGTTCCAACGTGTCTGTCCCATCACATGTACTTACCACTTTCACTATTGCTGATAGCCTTCTAGCTGAAACAATCTTGCGTGGAGCTTGTTCAAGTTGTCGCAAACCTTTCGCAAAAGCCTACCGCTAAGAAAGAAACCATTCAGTGTCTGGTTCATTTGCTCAAAGCTCTCCAAGAAGTTACTGCCAAGCCAAGCTCTCTGGACCCAAAGCTTGCCGAGTATGCTTTTCTCCCAATATCCCACGTTCTTCGAGCGTCTCAGATAGTCCCCGTCCACGCCCTGGAACTCTGCCTGGAGTGCATTTCCATTCTTCTCAAAGAAGGCTGGAAGGCCGACCTCTCCACAGAACTCTTTGCACAGCTCCTCATTCTGTTCACTTTTCTTGCCAATCCCTCATCTGCCGAGAATGGTATTCCGGCGACGTCTGAGGAGCTCCAGGCAGCTGCTTTCAAATGCATGACCGAGCTTCTCGCCCAGGTTTCATCGACCCAGGAAGGAAAACGCTCCCTCATGACAACAGCAAACGTCCCTGCCATTGGCAAAGCTGTTCTTGTGATGCTAGACAATGTCGCCCTCAACGCGTCGAATGATGTCCGGCTTCAGGCAGTAGCAGCTCTCAAGAAGTTAATCCTAGCCATTGATGATAGAGATACTCTTTCAAGCTTCCTTCCACGGATCGTTTCGTCGCTAACCAAAGTACTGACACCCAGTAGCGATAATCGTGCAAGCTTTCGACTGCTTGAACAAGGGCTAGAGGCGCTCTCGACTCTGCTTCTTCGAGTACTTAGTGACCAGGAAACTAAAACACTTCCTTTAGAGCCACCTGAAGGAAGTGCAAGGGGCGGCGAGAAATTCTTACGCACCACTTCGTGGCTACAAGCTACAGCGGCGCAAATCAAAATCGCGCTTTCAAATGTAATCAAGTTACGACATCACAGCAAAAAGGAAGTACGAAACGCCCTGCTTCAACTTTGCTTGGGGATCTCACAGGACTGCCGTACGTCTCTTTCTGGGTGCTTAGCCATGACGATCGAGACTTTGGTTACCCTTGCCGGTCGTAGCGGAGAGGATTATATAGAGAGTGACATCCGAACCCTCGTTTATTCGGACCTGAAGCTTACGGAAATTCTGCGAGAAAGCCTCCATGGATGGATCATATCTCTTCCACGCATGATGCAATCTAAAGATGATATGGGTCGGCGCCATATCATTCATCAAGTCTCGGTCGCTCTGCGATTGCTAAACAGGGAGCAGATCGATCTCAACAGAATCGATGACCTCTTAGCAGAAAACCTTCGCGATGGCCTAATCAACGTCTTCAAGGACTCCTCGCGAATTAGCTCTCTGGCGGCACCAGCTACCGATATGATCTTGGATACCAGTTTACTTCTCCCCGAGGCACCATCAACATCATTTCATTCTCTACAGCTACAGTCCAAGGGACAAGATGATACTATGGCGGAATTCCAGCTCCTTCTTCAGCAAATTGCCAAAACTGACTCATCTCTCACCGTTGGACAGGACCTAGTCGGCTTCATACAGAGTGGTCAAGACAATATGCGGCTAGCTAGCTTTTGGCTTTCTACTAACCTTCTGAGGGAAATGACTAGATATAACGCGGCAGTTGACGACTTCCTGGATTTTGGGACCCCAAGTCCGAGAGAGAGCCTACTCGATGAGTTATACTCTTTCTCCCTTGCCACACTCACAAACCCGGATCGCGACTCCAACCTACATTGGCATTTCCAAGCCCTTGCTCTCGAAGTCGTTGCAATGCAAGCAATTCAAAGTAAGGAAGATTTTCGAGTAGAACTCATCGAAGCTCTGTATCCAGTCCTCCACCTTCTCGGGGCTCCGAATCCAGCTCTTCGAAATCATGCGATCACATGTCTAAATCTCATCGCTGAGTCTTGTGGATACTCGAGTTCTAGCGACCTCATCATTTCAAATGTCGATTACATCGTTAATGCGGTTGGGCTGAAGCTTAATTATCACGACATCTCCCCCCAAGCCCCCCAGGTTCTCTTGATGATGATGCGGCTGTGTGGTCCGTCATTATTGCCATACTTGGATGATCTCGTTAGCAGCATGTTCTCCGCCCTCGAGCGTTTCCACGGTTACCCGAAATTAGTGGAACTTCTTTTCGCAGTGTTAAAGGGGATGGCAGAAGAAGGTGTCAAAACGCCACAGCTCATGATCGAACCGGGAACAGAGACGCTGCATCAAAAGCGGCCATGGGCGGCAACCAGCATGTCTGAGGTCGCTGAATTCATGAATATAATGAAGCTCGGGGCTACGAAACCAGACGAAGAACATAGAACGGATGGCACTCCAGAGTTCCCAAAAAGACCATGGAAAGACGAAGCTGGTGAAACCATACACAATGAAACTATTGACGAGAGTGACAGGCTGGAAAACGAAGCAGTTGAAGCTGCTGAACCTCCACCTCCAGCCTCGCGAACCTTCGAAATTATTCTCAAGATATCTGAACTTACTCAGTACTATCTCACATCATCCTCTCCCACCCTACGATCATCTCTTCTCTCCCTTCTTCATACAACCATACCCGCACTCGCAAAGCACGAGAATTCGTTCTTACCGCTTATCAACACCATCTGGCCCGTTCTACTCGCAAGGCTAGAAGATCCTGAAGGTTACGTTGTATCTAACGCTTTGGATATTGTGGGTCTCATGTGCACCTACGCGGGCGATTTCATGAAAGGGCGAATTGAGGGCATGTGGGAAGACCTCAAAGCAATTCAACGGCGTACAGTCAAAGCAACCGAGAATCGGAGTGAAAGAAGAAACAATACCAACTCTATGCCGTTCAGTGTACCTGAGGAGACCGCAGTTCTCACAACAGACTCTGAGTTCCGACCAGCCGACATGGAGTTTTATGTTGATGTGCCTACACGATTGATTTGGAATAGTATGGTTCTATTGTTATGTTCAATAGCTGAGCATGTTGCAGTCCGTGAGGAAGTTTTCGACGATATGCTAGACGTCCTAGACCCGGTTCTTGAGAGCAGTATCGTGCGTAAGGCCTTAGAGGGACGAAACTCGGATGCAGTGTGGCTTCGCCAATCCAAGAAAGGCAATCCTCCGGGATCTATCCCGGATACTAGGGCAACCTGGCCAAAGAAAACATCGCTACTGACTGGCAAGCCTCGTTGGAACTTCGTACAATCTCGATTTCAATAACAAAGGAAAGAACAATCACTCACGATATCTCCTACCATAATTGAGCCACTCTAATCCTGCCTCGAAATTCCTTTTGGCTTTCTTTCTTAATACTTCCCACAGGATTCTGTCATCCTTGTTTGTACCAGAGGTTGCACTCGCGAGGCAAAGTGACACCGTAACGACGGTAGACTTATTTGCTTCATGGTTAGCCGAATCAAACACATCTAAGAACCGACTGTATCCTCAACGGCGATTATCAAAATCTAGAATAGGCCCCGTTCATCGAAAAATGCTGTGACACTGATTATTTTAGACCCTAGAGCATATGAAGCAATGGGTTCGACGTCCCTAGCGCTTTTTGTGTTTCCGTTACCTGTTTCAACTAGGCCTGTAACAGGAAGTCAGCAACGAGATTTCACTTCTCAAGCATACTTGAGTTTGTCTCCTTTGACTCATCTTGTAAAAACTCCTAGTGTACCTTCTGTCGCCCTTCGCTGCCTCCAAGCCCTCCCAATGCTCGACTATTTCTCCGTGCTTCGGATTCAGTACCAGACTTCTTTTAAAACACAACTCAAAGGCTGCCTTTCCACTGTTTATACCATAGCTGAAAACCACCAGCGGCATAAAAGCTCATCTCGGTTTTTTCGCATAGCTTAAGGAGTCTAAGCCGCAAACCTGACTTTTGAGATTCCGCCACCATAGACATCCTAACTAGCCCACGAGGACACTAATCCGCCTATCTCCAAGTTAACGGCGCTTCTCAAGTACACCAGGGTCGGCCTTCAGTACTTCAGACGAGTGGCAGAACTTGGTTCAACCCGGAGCCAAAGTTAAGATCAGCAAATTACAGAGTTTACGTCCAGTCCTTCGATCCCAGTATATTTGGTACTTCATGTGTTCTCATTCGTACACAACGGTCACGTTTTGTGATTGTGAACTTTGTCGAGACCCACACGTGTCAGTTCTGCGATGATCCTTTTGAACAAGTCTGGTGTCCAGAATACAGGATCCATGAAACAGCGATGGATGGGGCTTGTGAGAAACATACACCGCAAGATGGGATTCTGTAACGGAGTTGGATGCGGTCAGGCGTGCAACATCAAGAAACTTTAATTGAGATAGACGGTTTGCAGAAGAATTCTCCGGGAAAGAACTTAACTTCATCTGACAAAGTTCCTAGTCCTGAATGGAGCGAGTTTCTTTCGACTCACGCTAATGGACTCAGTCTATTGATTTTTGACGTGAACACCAGCATCCAGCGGCAGGTAGCTTCTAGCACAAGCCTACCACCGAATATAACTAGAACTCGCGATTCCATTGCTTGCAGCCTTCCTGCTTACAACGAGGCTTTACTACTCCTTTTTCCCTACAACCTAGGGGAGCTCGTTCAATCTAGAGTTTGGAAATCTGAAGTAGAAGCTGACACTTCGAAGAGATTTATGGGACCTGAGTATCTTCTTCCGAACATTCGGCAACATATCGACAAGAATACTCTGCGTCAGCCATGGGAGCCCGTGGAACTTCCCCAAATCACTGACCCCAATGATGTCTTGACACCAGATATGACCAACACACATGAGCGCTCCTCATCACTGAATTTTAAACGACCGCAACTTGTACTACCCATGGCCACCAACTATGGAGACGTCGTGTCATCCACCGGCCTACGACCAAGAGTTACATTCGATGGCCAACTCAATGCAAGCTTCCCCAATACAGAACTGCTACCCCAATCTCAAGGTTGGCTTGACCCAGTGGCATCAAATTGTTCCTTGTCTAGTCAATGTCAAAATAATTAACGATTCCAAAACCCTTACAACCCCACCTCAACATCTTATCTCCTCAGAAACTATCATCTCTTTTGCCCTCGTTCGATCTTGATGGGCAATCTAATAGCACGTCGGATGTTAGTCTCAAAGAAAATACCAGCGAGAATGCCTAGTCGGAAGAGTCGAGAAAATGCTACCGTGATTGCGGCGTACAATCCCGAGACGAGGGAGTTTGAAAGACCGCCAAAGAAGAAAAGAGCCGTTGATGAGGCACTCTGAAGGCTCAGGTAGACCTTGACATTGTTAAATACATCCACCATACGGGTTTTCCTTGCAATAGACTGTTGGAGGTATTTTTGGACTAATATATACTTGGAAGAAATATTCTAGACACATTTTCATAGAATCAAAGCTGTTGTAGAAGAACGACTACAGAACACCATACAGGTCACCACGATTCATGTTTCGACTAGCCACCCACGTTCCCTATCCTCACGACAAAGTTATCAGATCTGAATATGCATGCCTCCTCGCAAGAGTGTCATATTTCACTAGATACAATTGCTGTGTTATGCACTTTCGATCAACGGCTTGAGATTTCAATGGTCTCTAATTGCAAGGTCCTGTGTGCTCAGCTCGACTTGGAACGAACTTCACACACACTACGAGTGCTCGGCCACAGTTATTGACAAACATTTAAACATTTTCATACAGCTCTTGTCCTTAGTTGTACACCATGCCAGCTCTTAATCTCATCCGCCAAGATTGAGTTCACCAGTTTATGCTGCTTGATCACCGTCAAGCCCTTGAACTTGGCCGACTCTATTTCCAACGCAAACATAGATCCACACCCTCCGCTAATGTCTTGGACCTGCAAGAAGTATCGCATTAGCTCCTAACCTTCAATAAGTGATGCCACGTAGGATATAGCATTTTTCCAATTACCGACTTGCGGGAATCGGACAGGGGAATCGAGAATCAGGAGATGAGTGCATGACCACTTACCTTTAGCTTTACAGGATCTAGCTCGGCCTTTATCTTGTTAAAGACGTGTAATTCGCCTTCTGAGAGGTAGTCTGGGGGGTCGGGTGTAGCGCTCTTCTGAGAGGAGGACCTCCTCACTGCTGCAGGAAGTGAGCACGAGATGGAAAGTGCGCTTGGTGTAGGACGCTTTGCGAGGGGGGCGGGCTGATTGCGTATACGACATGCAGTCGAGAAGAAGCGCGTAGTTGGGCGAAGTTGTACGAAGGCTGCACCGCACAGGATGGCTCGAGAGGGGGGCATATTGATGGATCAAGGAGGCTTTGCGTGGACGATCAGATGACACATGATGCGGGGTGCAGGACAGGGCCTAAAAGAGCAATTGACTTACGGTCGGTCAAGAGTGTTTGTTGAAGTGAAGTTTGATGCTGACCAAAGCTAAAACATTCGTAATAGGCCCAAGCTCCTCCAGGGCTGAGGTCGCTCCACCCAATCACATGACTTGATTACACAGGTTTCCGACATCGGGCCTGTGTGCTTTCTTCCCTATTACTTCCTCAGTTTTATCTTCCCACACTGGCGCGACTCTCTTTGTGGCTGCGAAGAACCTACGATCTCAACAAAAAGACCAAAGCAGATGGGTCAAGAAACTAAGGCGAAGCTAGCAAGCTGTGCAACGGAGAGGTGCAGTCTGGGGTAAGCGGGGACACTTACGGGAGCAGATGTACCTCCTAGTACCTCCCCCTACACTCACCCTGCACACCGATGCTCACCGCTGTGTTCTCAGTCCCGAAAAAGTTTTCCATGGTTCCTACGGTTTTACTAGTAGAGCTTAGTAGCGATGCGATCATCCGCTCAGTAACCATCACAAATGTAGGTGGGACAACCAAGCCTCTCATATCCTGCCAACCACTACCACCTCGCGGTCTCATGTTTGGTGGCGGCGATGAGTTTTGGCACTCACACAAGGCGTAGTCCCTCATTGCCAACATTTCTCGGCGGGACCCTTTCCAGACCCTGAGATAGGCGATGACTGCGACATTCACATGCCTTTGCAGGGGTTTCGCAACCCCTCAAGCCATCCAAAGGCCAAGCGCAGCCGTCAAAGCCAACATACGCCACCGAACGAAGACCCTGGGGTCCAACAGTTCGCTGGCAGATTACTCCGGCCTGAGATTACATGTCGTGCCCACCAATATCGACTCTGGACATCCAAACGAAGCAATCAAGCACGAAAGAGTTCTTCTTGCAGCTGTAGCACATGACCATTACCCTAGGCCACAGTGAAGATGGTGTCAGCAAGGCTTTCGAGGGGTGCTTCTCCAATGATGTATGCGGCGGGGTTTTTGACATCGCCGACGATACATCCTCATCCATTTCAAACTTTATCAAAGTTGGTGGGATGAGCGCTCTCTTCGCTCGTTTGGGCAATCCATCCTTACACCGTCCATGATAGTATACCCATATTAACACGATAAAACCCACCAATTATCCACGGCGGCATATCAAAAGAAAATGATCGTATAGCATCAACTTCGCACACTCTATATGTTCAATTACGGGTTGTTAACGCTCTACTAAGAATAGAAATGGAGATCTCGAAGTAGCACGACTTATGTTTGAAGTTGATCATGGATGCCGAATACCGACACTTATACAACACGGCTAACCAGTTCTGCGATTCACGAAGAGATAATCTGCTCCAAAAGCAATATAGAATGAGGAGAAGGGATGGATAGGTGCCTTGAGCAGGCGGTTGTTCCCGACAGCAAAAACGTGTTGGAGGAGTTTCTGCATGGCTGATATGACGGATGTCGAAGAGGCCTTCTTCCGGCGGCAGCAACAAACAAAACCTATACCTTGATACCACTAGCCTCCAACAAATTCCATTCAAGCCCTCGATATCCATTGCAAGAGAAAATGCGCCTCTTCATCTGCCTCGCAGGCTTTACTGCCCTCATTTCGGCGGCCCCTCGTCCGCAAGGCGTAACCACCATTTCAATTGCTGATCCAACGCTTCCCATTGCTATTTCTACGTCTCTTAACATTCCAACAACCGCTCCTCCGTCAATCCCTACCACTTGGTTCACAGTGAATAGAACTAATTCGACAAGTACAAGGAGAGGGGCCCATCCACATTCGGAGCCTATCCCGATCTTCCAAAAGCCTTGTGACTGTCAACCAGCTTCGGTTGTCGGATATCCATGTTGGGCGACCGATGCGGTTCAGGTGAGTTTTGAAGACATTCTTTGTGACTGATGAAAATGAAAAGAGTGGTACTTGAAGAATTGAATTTGGATATTTGTGAAGAAATATGAAAACAGAAGCACATCAGAATGCTACCGAAGGTAATGGATAGCTGCTGATGATGAGAATAGTCTTGCAATTTCGAAGAAAATCATTCCTGGATCTGCTGGACCCTTGCAGAAGGTGGTTGTCCATACCCAACCAGATCAGTGAGTTGTCGACTCCTTCGCATTTGCATTTTCCCAGCACTTCCTCATGCTTTCCTTGAAAATTCGAACTGTAATGCTGCGTGTAAAGAGGAAATTTAATAATTTCACGCAGTGTTCGGCGCTGTTTAAACCTACTCCTTGGCCTGGAAAATATCACCCTTGTGATTGGAACCACCCTCCCGAGACGTCGGCTCCGACGGTCACGCCAACGGTAACTGCTTTAGCTAGTCTTTGAGTGAGAACTGCGAGCATCGTGGTGGCTGAAGGGTTTCGATGAGGAAGATGAGCGGGGAGGTGTTGATGTCGTGGAGAACTTGTGGAGGTGTCAATGGTCCTCAAGGTGGGGAAATGGAGCCGTAACATATACATTAAGTAAGCTAAAATGTTACCTCAAGGTTCCCTCCTGTCATCTCATTCATCTATCCTCTGCTATGCTACTCATACATCAATCTGTTTTCATCTCTCAGAAACTCAAAGCAGTTGGCTGCATTTTGATACTGACGCCTCTGCTGGATGAGCCGGGAAGCAGCCAACAACAGCTACCAAGGCCCATGCAACTTCCCGCCCACATCCTTTTTCAGAAAAAGAGCAGCAGAAAGTGGATACCTTTTACCTCAAGGGTGCGCCTCTCGACCCAAATGCGACGTGATTCGTACCCTAAAATTCAACCACTCGTCATGAAGAGCAAGGTCTGTGGCAATGCAACGCAGCGGCAAGCAAGCAGCGCGGACTTTGTCGAGCCTCTCTCTCGACAACCCACTCCCCTCCCGTCTCCCTCTCTGTTCCATCTTTGCTCAAGCCTCAAGCACAAAGGGCTTTGTCTAGATCTCGCATCGGACCACGCACTCCAGACAGAGTACAAAAAAGCTCCACTGTTCTCCAGACTTACCCACCGTTCGCTTATGCATCTCCATCGCTCACTCGCCACAGGCTCTGGGTCTCTTTAACGTTTCAAGGAATTTTCTCCGATGCATCAGGTCATCTTAAAATTCACCATGGTCTAGTTGAGTTTCTTAGCGCGGCTCTCCGCGCTCTCCTCGACCGCTCCTTTGCAGCAGCATGATGATCATCAAACGCGAGCCGCTGTGGGCTGATAGTCTATCAGAGGAAATGCATTGCACTGTACCTAGACCCTTGATCATCGCCCGTCAGAGCGGAGGTGGACTGCAAGCTAGAGACCCTGAGTACCTCGATGGTAGCCATTGAGGTCTCAGACCTTCTTGTGAAGATCTGGAGTTAAAGCAGGGTCTCTGTCTGCTGAAAGTTAACACGAGCCCACCCGACATGTTTCACATGGCATTAATTTGCATGGCCACGGTAACCCTAGTCTCCTCGCGTTTCTATTCATGCCCACCACTGCACCTTCCTCCGATGTCGTCGACACGACATGCAACCAAAGGTTGAAGTCTGCCCTCGCCACCAGTCAATCAACACTCACTCCGGCATATTACGAGTTCTCGACCACAACTAACCGCCCGGAATGTATTCTACCCCCTACCGGGACTAGATGCCTAATTGTTGCGCCTATGATGAAAGCGAGATAGTATCTACCGGCCCGCAGATAGACTTGCCACAGCGCGGGCAAGGGAACAAGGGGGCTAGCAGCAAATAGAAAGAAGAGTCTCACCTCCATCTCGAAAATCGAAGAATGGATGAGGCAGACCTAACGCTGCTTCGAGGGTGCGGAGTTGTTGGGCCCTGGATGCCGCGGAGGCTGATAACGGGTATGCGGCATGAAGCCAATTAGACCGGAGGGACGGGGAAGTGGTTATCTTGGAAGGTGAGAGGCGCTGAGGGGTGAAGGTTGATCTGGGTGGTGAAGAGGGATTGGTATCGGTTGGTGTTGGGCCGTCATCTCGAGATTCAATGTTTCGCACATGAAGCGCGGAGATAGACAAGCCACGGAACTTGTGAGACATTGAACTCGTTTGTCTGTATGTAAGATATCAAAAACACCCCACACGAGACCAGCACCCAACCTCACCGCTTCCATTTCTGTCCACATATCTCACTAGACACAAACTTCAGCCTCACAACAACGCGCGCCCTCCCCCGATATCTCTACTCTTCTTTGTCTGACTAGCACATCACATCAAGCCAGGGCTCTTGCGTTGAGACGCCAACACGCTGATTAGCTGCATCTGAGTTTGAGGCTTGCATCCCAGACATGTTGCTAAAAGCAGACGTGCATTAGCGACGTTAAAGCCGAACCTAAGCGCCACTGGTTCGCTCCACTTCCCCCATGTCCTCACTTCTGTTGAGGCTTTCAAGCTTTCAAGCTTACAAGCTTACTCCTGTGAGAGGAAGCGGCGACACACAACGCGACTAAGGGGAGAACTAGAGAGAGAGAACGACGTGATATGGTGCCATAGAGTTTGCCGCGTCCGCCGTTTATTTGGGTTTGCGGGGGAAGAAGACCAGGGTCTTCCTGGCTTGAGGGGGGGCGTGGAAGGTAAGATGTGGCAAGGTACTGCGTTCAACTTTTTTTTCCAAAGATTTTCTCCCATTTGTGGTGTGGTCGATAAATATTATTTTTTTTTTATAAAAATTCCCGTCTGTGTCACGGTCGGGTTTAATTTGGCCGGTCAAGCGAGCGGCGAACGAGCCTCAGCCTCAAGCCTCAAAGCCTAATTGTCAAAGCTCAAGAAATCCTCTCCAGATCTGGCGCCTTCAAAACAAAGAATG